TAACATAACATAAGATCATTGCAAAAATGTAAAATCTCAGCTGGGCACTCTGCTAGGATTCTTTTCGCTGTTAACTGTAGGGTCACATTATCTACTTTCTCAAAATCGTCTCTGCAGAAAGACCTAGTTAGTCTAAGTCAGGATATAGTTGCCCAAGATAAGGTACTCACATAATTTGTTCAGCAGAACTAGAATACATCAGCACGAGAAGCGGTGACGGCCTACAAAAGCCTCCCCATGTCCTGCCTGAACGTCTGCGCCTCCTTAATTTGCGACGAAGCTCACGCGAATCAGATGTATTACTTTGGGCGCTCACGTAAATATCCAGAGCAATACTGGCATCACGATAGTGGTGACCTCGTATCATCTGTCCCGATTCTCTCTCGAGTCTAATAATATCTTCCAGCGCAATGAAAAGCCGCGTCAGCTGTGCATAGGCTAACCGTCGAAGCAGATAAGAGCTCTGCTTTGAAGATACCATGTTGTCTATAAATTTGAATGCGTGAATGATGAATACCCCCTAACAGCGACCAGCTCTTAACGCATAACCAAGCAACCTGGCCCTACCGCACGCCGTGGCGCCCCCACCATATAGCCTATTGGAAAGACAAACCACTCTCACTAAAGATCTATCTCACAGCGACAATTGCCGCATCCTAGGCGAAGAACATCACACATTTTGACACATAGCTTGTCTAATTTGGGTGGCCACAATCTGCCGCATGTCGAATGAGCAGTCGCATTTGACAGCCCATTCTGCGGTATCTGCCAGGCATCTACAGATCCGGACGGCTTGCTTTGAACGCGCTAGAACGCTAGCCGCCATGGCTTTTAGGCTGGCGCTGTCTTGCCGCCCGACGTCCCGCCTGTTAAGGGGTCAGTGTCAGATCTCATTCAACACAAGGGCAGATACGTACACAATCTGCTCAACAGCCTCTGAGTACATCATGGTAAAGAGGGGTGACGGCCCTGCCATGTCGTTCCAGCTTCTACTGGTCCGTTTACGTTCCTGCAACGCGCACCTTAAAATACCTGGGATCCACAATCTTCCTGAGCCATCATGTATATGTCGAGGGCAACGCTTGCGTCGCGTCGGCAGGGTTCACGACGCACCTGCTTCGATTCTCTCTCAGACTTGATGCTGTATTCAAGAATTGTGAAAATTCGCAATAATTGCACGTATGCCAATCGTCGGAGTTTGTAAGTCGTTGTCCCTCCGCAAATGATGCTATCTACCGCTTTAAAGGCATTGATAATACGTATGTCTGAACTCCGAATATCGCTTGGTAGCGTAGTTACACGGAGTAGTGAAATCCAGTCTGTGATCACTTCTACACAATTCGTGGCAAAAAAAGCCATCGGATTGGGGCCGACCAGTTTGCGGCTCCACGTGTTCACACGTGTTGTTACTCGTGTTTCTCGTGTTTTGGCGCTCGCCTTTGTCGGTAGCAGGCGATTTCGGTGGCATATCGGATTGTGATGTCTGTTCTTCAGATAGTCCACCGTCAAACGCGAATAGGTCTTACCTTTCTCTATGACGATGTTCTCTGCGTGAAAAATTATAGGACGTTTCTCCTGTTGGCTTTGTTTGTGTCAGACTCTTTTGGCTAATTGGAGATGGCCATCTAGCGCTAAATTCGAAGCTCGGCAGTGATTTTGGTGTGCCATCGTTATACTCGCACACAGGAGGCTTGGAAGTTATGGTGATGTCGCCCATCATCCGTGTTACACGGGGAACTCCGGCCTGCTCGTCATCAACGTTCACGAGCTCATGCATATTGACTACGATGTGCCGTGGATCCCTTCCGCGTCGTGCTGCGCGACTGGGAGCGATGTCTCGCATTTTATACTTTTCCTTACCCCACTTTCAGGCGAATGACCTGCCTGAAACCTGGTAACGGTTTCCTCGAAACTGTTTCGCGCGTTTTTGCCAAGTCAGAAACGGGTTCCTACATACTGACAGCTGTCTAAATCCCTGTTATATGTGGGAGACGTAGCACCAAAATCGAGCGCCTAAAGAAGGCAAATCAGCCAAGCTGCGCACCACGTACAATAACAAATTGCCTTTTTTTGTTATGTACCTCAGAAAACATCCTCCTGATAACGTAGATATGATAATTCCCCGAACGGGACCAGCACCTAGGTCTCATGATATGTCTCAGTTGTGCATCAATCTCATAAAGTCAGCCCGCTGCCCCCACAACCGCTCAATGAAGTCGATCTTCAAACTGTCCTTGCAACCTAACTAGATCCTCAGTCCCCTTGCTTCTGTTGACTTTGAGTTCCACGCTCGTCATACGATATCGACATGGGTGTAGCCGAACGTGAGCCTCAATTGCATCTCGAGAAGATGGTGATTGCAGCCATTCTTGAATGCTTTGAGGACGTCGAGTCCTTGATCGTAGCAGAGAAAGTTCAATCTGCTCAGAAGAGTGCCGAAGGCCGCATCAAGGGACAATTACTCATTGGTGGCAAGTCTTTCACAGAAATAGTGTTGGTCTCTCTCGTCTCAGTCTGAATGCCTTACTAAATCTATGCAGCGAAGGGCACGAGTACTGTAGGAGTGACATACAGTCCTTGTCCACACACATCAGACAAAAGCGAACCCCTGTAGCACGATTATTCCCCGCTATTGAACCTGCTTTTCGAATCTTTTGGGGGCCGTGTAAGGAGGAGATGGATATGGAGACAAATGATGAGCAGGTAGCAGAAGCATTGGCAATGGACCATGCCAATGGCGTTCTCGACGGATCTATTTGGGCTTCAATGGAATGGAAGTGGCAGAAAAAGTAGGACAATCCGTCAATACTTGTTGTCTATTATTAGAAACCAGATTAAGATGGATTTTACCGGGCTGTTCTCCTCTTGATGTCTCATGGTATTGTCCCTCCTCCTCTTCTCTTTAAGGTATGTTAAGCCACTGGTCGGTGATCGAAGTTTGTTCAATACATCGAAGTAGATCACAATGGTAGTCCCTACCCAAGGCTCGAAGGTAGGACTAGCGGCCAGAGTGAGTGAGGCTCCGCGGTGGCGACTCAAGATACCAAACGTACGATGGGAAAGGACAGATACAAGAGTGATCACTGATGTCTGCCCATTGGTTCTGAAGAGTTTCGTAGGGTTAATGCTCTGGCAATGGTCAAGGTGACGACTCTTGTTACTAATGGTGTAGATATATGTATGTGCTTGGAGACACGCTGACCTGGAGACGAGTTTGCGATGACGTAATGGATGATGGCTGATTGGTGAGACGAAGCTTTCTGAGGTTAGTTCGCTTTCTTTTGTTAATTTGGACAATCATACAATCTGTACTGTACCGTTTGGTAAAAACTGTTTTTTTCAGTAAGTTGGTAGCTCGGCTTGCAATCTACAAAATCGATGGACTTGCGTCATTTCTTCGTGACACGAACATTGTGAGGAGGCTCGGCTCGGAAAATGGAAATACCCGAGCCTCGAATTCAGCTAAAGTCCTTCTTAATTATGTTATGTTA